TGGTGGGGCGGCTTTAGCAGTGGGGAGGGCTTTTAAAGCAATATCAGGACCGTAGAATCGTGCGGAATCTCTGGTGCCTCTTCTGCATCGATCTCACTCTCAACTATCTTGCAAATCTATTATCTGAGAAATCCAGACTTAAAAAATTCTATAATCTAACATTTGATAAAATAAAAATTATCGTCATTTTTATCATTTATATAAAATTTATAAACAATTATTATTATTTACAGATAATCGTTTGTATGCTTGGTCAATTTTTTTCTTTGTAGATTAACTTATCAAACTAAATTAAGAGCGATAATTTTTAATAGATATAAATGAGTTAATCAGGAAAAAAATATTAATAAGAAACTAAGAAATCATTTCAAATGCAGGAAAATCAATGAATGGTTCTGTGAGTAGGTAGTAGTTCAAAATATTCGTATAGAATATATAGTATATGATAATTTAGATTTAACTGTTATTATTTATATTACACAAAATATAGATATTATGATCCTAATGAAAAATATACTTATGCAATAATAAATATCAAAAAACTTTGTCATAAGACTCGATCACAGAAATATAAGTAAATGCTGATAATGTTTTTAAATTACGGGAATCGAAAAACAACGCAAAACGTATTTTAAGTAATTTTTATTTTTACGCTGACCTTCATTTTGGCCACTCAGAATTCATACCCGGACGCGTGCGAATAGCTTTTGCAACGTCAATTGACGTAACAACTATGTTTCGTAATTTAATATGTAGCACGTATTTTTATAAACGCGTTTATAAGAAGAGTCCTCTTCGTCGAGATTGAAAATTTGACGAGGGGCCTTATAACTCATTGATTCGGCGGTGAGGAGAGATCATTGGAGGGGGAACGCTCAGCTGGGCGAACAGCTGCTGGTCGCTGTAAACGTTGGGATGCTTGGAAAACTTCCTTTTTACCCACTGCCTACAAAATTTCCATTTCTTCATAAAAATTCCTATCCACCCTCCGTTTCATGGTATCGAAAATCTCCGGTACAACAAACAAAGAATTTCTACCTGAAAATCTATTCATTTTCCATCCCTCGTCATTATGTTTCTCCGGAACAAAGTAGTTTCGTTTAGCCTGTAGCGACATCGCACTATAGTGGCAAGATGGCATCATATGTAGCAGTGTTTCTCAAAATGAAGTGAGGTTAACCAACCTGGTTGAAGAAAAAAATCAATGGTTGAAACGTCATTTCGAATAGATGAATTCTTGCATTTTGCTTTTTTAAATTGTAATAAATCTAAAAAATTACATATTTATATAGATTATCTTAATTAAAACATTTATTTAAAATACAAACACTATATATTCGATATTATAATTATATCAAAATTGGACATTGTTTAAAATAGAAATGATAAGTAAAAAAGATAAATAATAATTAAAATAACAATAAAAGTTTAATAAGAGATATATCTAAATCTAAATGTTAATATAAATAATAGATCAAATTAAACATTGTAAATAATAAATATTTCTAAAAATACTTAAAAAACTATATAGAATTAAATAACAAATATTTGCTAATAACAAATTTGTTAACAAAATCAAATATTTATCAAACAAAATTTTATGAAATGTATTATTTAAATAATTTCACTTAAAAAAAAATAAGCCAAGAAATAAAGTAATATAATTTTATTTATATAATTATTTATAATATTTTGAGGTAATTAAATGCACTTTGTAACGTTTATTTACTGAATGATCAGTATTTGTAAATCAAATATAATCTTATCATTGTTTACAAACGAGATTGAGAAGAGGTTATAATAGAATGCGCGCATCACTTACTATACATGCTGATACATGGATGGAACGTATAATGAAATAGACGTAAAATTAAACAAAAATATATTCGAGGATTCGAATAATAAAAATGGATATTATAGAATGGATGAGATTAGAATACCACTGTTGAACAGTAGCATAGTGACAACCCAACTAGCATTGGGACGCCTGCGCGAGTCAATCCTGTCAATACTATTTGGGAGATCCCTCCATTTCCCTATGGATTGATACGAGTCAATGCACGACAGTAACCAAGCGTACACGAGAAACTTTTTGTTTTCTACGACCCAGTATTGCATACTCCACTTTTGGCATTGATTTCCGGGAACCTTTATACCTCTCAAAAAATAAGTCAATGCGGAAATCTAGTGATCGAGTGACTTATTTTTTAATCCTCGAAAAATTGTGATCGCTAATTTGATTTTTGGAATTTGAAATATATTTTTTTTTATTTATTTAAATATAATTTAATTTCGAAATTTGAAATAAATTATCAATAATTTGATTTCAATAATTCTCAATAATTTGAGAAGTGATAATAAAAATTATTAATAACTTAATTGGAAAAAAATTACGCAATCAAAAAATAAATCAATGAAAAAAATTATTAATGAAATAATTTATTTTTATATATTTATTTTATTTTAAAAATATAAGTTTTAAATAATTTGATTTTCAAAATATATTTATATTTAATGTGTTTGTAATTTGAATATAAGAATATCTTAAAAGAAAAGGAAATGGATTTTTAATGTTGTGTTACAAGATATATATATATATATATATATATATATATATATATATATATA